GACTTTTTCGCTTTTCCGTTATCTAATGCTTAAGCGAACTGAAAACTGAAAGAGAACGCGTTTCCGTTGCCGAAGAAGAAATTCGCTCTCTTCGCTCTGCAGGTATGCTTTTTATAATGTCTGCTCCCTGTTCAGTGCAGCATGCTTCTAGTTACAAAGTAATGCGCAGTGTTATTTCCATCCATGTCATTACTTTCAGAGTTTTGATTGATCTTTCTGAATTCAGGAAATGAAGGGTTCAGTTTCCCCATGACGAATGAGCAAATGGTTGCCAGGGAAATGCGTGAAAAAGCTGCCTACGCACAAAAATTGGAGCAAGAGGTATTTTTCTTCATCGAGCTTTCATTTCGTCCCGTGCTTTGCTAACCCGTAGATCGACAGACCTATAAACATTGATTAGCGCATATTTTCTCTTTTAATTGTGAATGCGCTGCAATTGGCTTTCTATCAGGAAGCTTCCGATCAGGCAGGAATTTTCTCAACTGTGTGTAAGCAAACCTGAGTTTTGTCAGGGGCACATTCTGTTCACTGGTCTTATAGTTGGAAATGTTGTAGAAAGACAAAATTCTATTGTCCTATCTTAACAAATCAGAGGAAAAATTAGAAACTTTCCTTAGTTCTCACCTCCCAACCTTCCTTCTCATAGACAAAGGTATACGACAGAAATGTTTTTTTCTAACAACACCAATAATGTTTTGTATTTTATAGTGCTATTTCAGCTTGAGGAGACGCGAAAACGACTTGAGGACCTAAGTAAACGTTGTGCTGGAAAAGACGAAGAGCTCAGAACGCATATGGAGATCATCAATGTGCTGAAGGAGGTGCGTTAGTTCATAAAGAAAGCTTGAACCGTTGCCGAACGGAAGTTTCAGGAAGTTTTAAAGCGTAGAGTTTCAGGAAGACGGAGAGGGCAGGCGAGAGATTGCTGAAAGGGATCGAAGAATAAAAGAATTAGAAGATATGGTGCAAGGAATATTTGACCGTGGAGAGGTGAACAACTGCTGATTTTCACAACACTACTTTGTGAACTCGAGGACTATTTCAGTTTTTTTTTCATTTTTTTTTAAAACTAACGTCTCGGTGTGACGAGCTCCCTATTTTCCTTCCATAGTCATTTATAAAAGTTTCGGTTGGGCTGATCCTCAACTTTAGATAAGGTATTGTTCATAGTTGACGACCCAGGCAATCAGAAGATTAGGCGAAGATGCGAATAAAGGAAATACGTCTCGATTAGGTCGTGTTTAATGTTTAGGGGCGGAGTAGACTGAGTCGACACGTGTGCAGCTCTACTCGCCCACGCGCCTTTTGCCTTGTCGATAGGTATTTTTCCTCCTCGTCTATGCCTGCCTGAGTCGTCAACTATGAACGATTTCGGAGGCAAAGTTGAACGTGGAAGTAGCCATCCGATAATGCAGCTATTTAATTATATTCTGAGATAGGCCGAACCTAGTGTATCCTTCAATGGTTCTAGTTTGTTGTTGGCGGCCTAAACGGTAAGCTACTGCCTAGGCGTTGTGAAAGCTAAGTAAGCTGCGGTTTCCATTCCATTTGCATTAGTTTAGTTTGCATGCGGAAGTTTAGTCTGAAATACAACAATAGAACAAGTTGAGCCGTTACGTTGCAGCGCTGACCCTTATCACTTTGTCCAGTTGTTGTATAATGTAGATTTGAATTGTATCGCAAAGTAAACAATTACAGAATTCAGAAATCCGAAAGTAAGTGCAGCTTCATGTAACTAAAGTACCGCATTTGAAAGGAGCGTTGCCGCTGGTGTTAGTTTGGTGTTGGTGTCAGTTTTTTTACACCTACTTATCGTATTCTTGGTTTATAAATGTCATGAGGAAGTGTGAACATTATTTTTCATGGAGATGAAAGTTTTTTTTTTGAAAGTACGTATTTTCATTAGTGATTCTACCTGTAGATCCTACTGCTATTTATGAAGTAATTCATAATTCGCTGTACATAACTATTTCAAAGTCCGCTGTACCATAGCTGTACCATAGCATACCCTTTTGCTATCTTAAAATATTATTGTTGCATGAGTAGGAATTCATAAGGTTCTAACTCATTTACTGTTATTTTCACGCACTTCCCTTCGGCTTCATTGTTGTCATTGTACATCTCTTCTATGAACTGACGGAACTTCCTTCTTCTACCATGTCCCGGTGAAATTCTCGTAGTCTCATCGTTGTTGAACAATTAAAACCGGTTAACGTGCACTTGTATAGTCTTTGTATAGTCTTCATCGCCTTGTATTTAGATGTATATCGAAATAAATTTAGTTCCAAGATTTGTTCTTTGCTGAGCATATTCAAGCGATACCTCCTGCCAAATCGTCTTTTTTCCATTAGCAGACATTCAACCTATAATTTATCTCCCTTACCCAAGGGAAGTCATAAATGCAGACCTAGCAACACAGATATGAAATCAGTTGATCAACTGTAGTATGAAATCAGTTGATCAA